CTTACATTTCATGGAATAGGTCTTTGTACTCTTCGTCTCCTTTGTATTTAGTGACTTCATTTTTTTCCTGACTATCGTCTGCTTTCCTATTGTAGCTCACAAGTTTGTCTAGCTTATTTACCATTTCATTCTCAACCTGACGAGCAGAAATATAATGTTTTTGTTAACATGACCCATGTACAAAAATGAATTATTTGCAGTGTAACTGACCATTTCCCGACAAAATGGAATTGCAAGCCTAAATGTCGATTGATTTGAACGCCATTAGTAATAAGGTTTAATATAGAAATAAAAGTTTTGCTTCACTTGCAGAGCCCTTGTACGCGAAAATAGTCGTGTTAACGCACTTAAGTAAGAATGTCAGCACAAGGTTACCACCCAACATGGCAGACGATAATCACGTGATTCGCGGTTGTAAAGGTGCCAAAGTATTTCATTCCCTTACCGTTTGGATGAATCCTTTGCTCAAGAGCTCACTCTCAATCATATCAAAGAATATAGGAATTGTTGCCTTGCGTAGTTCTACAAGAAGAACCAAAGAGCACATGTCAGTATTGATTTGTCATTTGTCTCTTTTACAACTGCTTGCTTAGCCGGCGTAGCCGCTCTTGGGAGGTGGGAATGGGGATGAGGCAAGGGGAGGGGGATTGGGAAGGAGGGAGGGAGAGCCATCTCAATGCCCCCCCCCCCCAAAAAAACCAAGAGCCGCTCCTTCCAAGAGCCCCTACGTAGGCTAATACTTGCTAAGCAGGAAAAACGCCTTGTGACTAGAATGAAAATTCAGTGGCAAGTGGCAGTTATAGATACAATATACCATGATGATACTGCATGGCTAAAGAGATGGCAGAAACACCACACAGCACTGAAACATTAGGTTTTTTGCTTGTTTGTTCGAAACCGCTAACTAAGAGTCAAAGTAATACAGCGATGTTTGAGTACTAGATCGCAAAGGAAAAGAAGTTGTGCTTTGCTACGGAACAACAACTCAAGAAATCAGTGTCGGGACAGATAGCGGTACTTAGTTGTCAAAAACCAACCTGTCTGAGGAACCATAGTCATCTCGAGGAAMGGTCCAATTAGACTTGGGATGAAATGTTTCTTATTTTCACCTGAATGACAAACAAAATGTATCGATTATAAGCGTTTAGTACTTAGTACTCTAACAGCGGTGATTCAGAAAACAGAACCCTAATGGGATATTCCAATCCCATTTTCAAACTAAAATTTTGCCAATATCTCCATCGCTGTGAAGAATTTTTATGAAGTACTCCCGCCAGACAAAGTCGAAACGTCAACTTACCCAAGTCCTGCCACTTGTCGCTGATCTCGAACCCCATTACTTGCCTCATGTCTCCATATCTGTGGGGGGGGGGGGGGGAGAAGAAACATGTTAATGGTTGTTTAATATACCAAGAAATACCAAGAAGACGATCAAGTCAGTGTTACTCGCCCCCCTCCCCCAATCCCCAATCATCATATTAATCATTAATAATCATATTATTATTAAACTATTTATTAGCTTGCCTGTCGATGATTTTGTTTCTCTTGACTTCAGTAAAGTTTTCCAGTTGAAGATGAGGCTGAATCTGAAACGCTACTGACAGCTGGAAATAACTGTTCCACAGCTACAAATAGGGCAGAGAAACGATTTAGATTAATGGGTTAACTTGAAAATGAAAATGGGATGCTCATACAATAAAATAGTTTCACTAGCAACCGAAGGTTATCCAGCTAAGGGGGGGGGGAGGGCTTGTGATTGATTCGGCATCACATGTGAGCAGAGTCTCCCTTGCTTCGAGGATTTTTCTCCTGGTTCTCCGTTTTTCCTTTCTCCGCAAAACTTAGAAGAGATAACTAGCTAAAAACTAGTGTGAGCTGCGTTGGTATTTCTAATGAAACAGTAATGATAAAAGAGTAAACTTTACACCGTGGAAAGATGAAAAAACTTACTGACGTTTTCCTTTTACTCCGACGAAGGACTAGCGTCCGAAACTTCAGTAAGTTTTTTCATCTTTTYACAGTGTATAATTTACCTTTTTATCATTACTGTCCACTAAACTTAGCTAAATTCAAATTTGATCTATGAGTTAGCARTGCYCTAAACTTTGATAGTCAGCCCTGGGGTAGTTTTAACACATGGCTTTGACATTTAAAGCCTTCTCACCTGGAAATCAAAGTTTTCGTTGCAAAAATTACTACTTAGTGCAACTGATAAATTCTGAACTGCTGTAAGGATGACACTGAAAATAAATCATAAGCACTGGTTAGAATCATAATTATACTGATATTGAAGGCACAAGAGTATTGATAGTTTTCACCATCCGACTACACTTCTTGCTAGCATACTAGTATACTAGTAAGCATACATGACAGAATGACAAAGGGACACGAAGTCTCCTACTAGGTTTA